ATAGTGTAATTTTAATGCCTCTTGAAGAAAAAGAAAAAGAAGAAAGACATTATAATTTTGAAATACTTTTGAATGGTGAAAGCACATCTTAAGATTCCATGAATGCAAAGAACTGCAGCATCCACAGACTTGTATTTGATAAATCATAAAGTCCTTCATTTCTCATGATAGGAGAGTACTAGATGTTCCACAGATACCTCAGCATTTCTTTCTCAGAATGTAATCTAACACAACCTAAAAAAAAAAAAAGCGGTGAACATTCTTGCTCTCACCTAACTTTATACTTTCCCCAGCCCCCTACCGTATCACTGGCATAACTTGGCAAAGTTCTATTTACTGTTCACTAGCATCTTTCTTCCTTCCTGTTTTTCAGTTTCATATTATTTAATAATTAGAAAGGTATAGCAATAAATGCAAGAATACTCTCTTTTATTTGACTCCTAGATTCACTTGCTACCTTAAAACTAATTATATAAGCATTATTTGCTTTTAAAATTAATTCACTAAAAACACATTTGAGGTATACTATGTGCAAGAAACTTGCTGGAGAGCAAGTAGTATTTGGCAGTCAGTATAGACACAGAATGTAATCCATGGGTGGCCTAAATGATTAAGCACTCAACTATTAATCAGAATGTTGGCAGTTTGAACCCACTCAGAAGCACTTCAGGAGACAGGCCTTTTGAAAGATCACAGCCTTGGAAATCCTGTGGAGCAGTTATACTCTCACAAATGGAGTTACCATGAATTGATTGGATGACGGCTAACTACAACAGCATGGACACATGAAGGAATTTCTAAATGCATAAGGCATGCTATTTTATGGCTAGGTGCTATCAAGTCAAGTCTAATTTATAGTAGCCCTATATGACAGAATAGAACTATTCCATAGGGTTTTCCATGCTGCCATCATTACAGGAGCAGATTGCCAGGTCTTTCCTACCATGGAGCCCATGGCTGAGTTTGAACTACTGATCTTTTGGTTACAGCTAAGTGCTTAACAATTGCCTTACCAGGGTTCCTTGAATAAGATATACTCCCTTCTAAATTGGGAATAAGCTATGTGACTTTGTTCATCCTGCACTTTCCTCTTGGAATGCCATTCCTCTGTTCTCTCACCATTGGGATCTCCATATTCTTGCCTCCCTTTCCCTTAAGCCCTTTCCAGAATTTCCTAGTTAAAGTTCATTACTTCATATGCTGTCAAGAGATCATTATACATTGATAGAGCATTTACTTATTTCTCTATTGTGTTGATGCTTTCATGTCTGATTATACCCATTAGATCTGAAGTGTGGCTATTTAATTAAAATGAAATAAAATTTAAAATTCAATTATTTATCTACCTTAGCCATATTCCAAGTGCTCAATAGCCACATATGACTCATGGCTACTATATTGGACAAACACTGATTTAGAACTTTCTACCATCACAGATAGGTTTATTGAACAGCAGTACAGTATATTATTACTTCTTTAAGCTATATTGTTTAAATTAATAAGGTTAAATTAACAAAATAGTGAATTTGAAGACAGATATATTTGGTTGGTGATTTGCAGCAAGGAGGAGGATCAGAATTTGGCAGATGGATACAGAACTGTATGTTGTTAAAAGAGGATTCCTTTATATTTGAGATGATCGCATTAAACTTTTAAGAAAGACATGTATGCCAGCTGAAATAAGTAAAGGTACTGCGGTTTCAAAACAACCACAGAAACCATATATAACTTATAATTCATATTTTAACAAATGTGGTTACAGTGAAATGAATGGACTAGAGAGACGAGAAGTGATTTTTAATCTATTGATCTAAGTATCTATAATGCCTAGTCTACATTCCTGTTCAAACTTCTTCAAAAGAAATCACTTTAAGGGGTTTGAAATGAAATTTGAAATGAAATACTATATTTTAACAGTACATATTCTCAGAGTTTGAAAAATTGTGTACTAGTAACATGAAGGTGAGTACTTTTGTTTTTTAGTAGTACAATGAGACAGTTAATTGTTGCACTTAATTTAATTTGGAAAATAACAAATACATAAATTATTGGTTTGGTAGAAATAACTGCTGCCTTGTCTAAATATATAACTATGTAATGCCATAAAATTTTGTTCAGTGCTTACATTGGCCTTCAATTTCAGGATATTCTCCAAAAAAGTAGAAAGAATATTCTGCAAAGGGAAGTAAGCCAGGTACAATTTAAGCAGCTTGGACTTTAGAATCAAACTGACTGGGTTTTCTACCCCAGCTCTGCTACTGACTGACAGTGTAGTCTCAGTCAAATGACTTAAATCCTCTGAAAATACAGTCAGTCCCTGGGGTACGAACATTTGACTTATGCATAACCTGTATTTGCCCTTTAATATTATGGAAATTTATCCTTACTTGGAAATGATTGAACCAACCCCTGCTTTCAAAAAATTCTTCATCACAATTACTTTCACTTGCTGCAGGTGCTTTGAATCATGGAAAAGGTTTCAAGCCTTTACTTAAAGTAAGGATAAAGAAGAATTGTATGCACGTGTTCCAACTTACCTACAAATTCAACTTAAAAACACACTTAGGAACTGATCTAGTTTGCAGCCCAGGGACTGCCTGTATTCATCCACTGGCAAGATAGGGCTATCGATTTTTACCACTAAAGTTTATTATGAAATTTAAACAAAGAAATGAGCCTAGAAGAATCAAGCATATGTCTTGTGTACCCAATAACAGTCTTTTGAGTACTGAGTTCAAATCCTGCCAGTGTCTTTCCTTGTTAACCTTTTAATATCTTTTACTACCTTAACCAAAAGCAAACCAAACTCAATGCCATGGAGTCAATTCCAACTCATAGTGACCCCCATTGGGTTTCTGAGGCTGTAAATCTTTACAGAAAGATCACTTCATTTTCCTTCTGCAGAGCAGCTGGTGGGTTTGAACCACTGACCTTCTGACTAGCAGCTATATGACTTATCCAATACACCACCAGAGCTCCTTTTATACCACCTAGTTAGAGCCAAAGAACACAAGCTCCCATATTTGATTTTTTCTTTACTGATGAATGTCATTTTTTGTTTGTTATCATTGTTTGTCTTCCAGTCTTTTCTCTTACCCGTATTTCTTTGATGGAGCAATTATTAACTAAGGACAAAGGAAATTTAGTGAGGTTTTAAGATAGAGATAATGTATACCATTTAGCATAAGACTAGTTTAAACTAACATAAAGGTCACAAAAGAATTTTAGAATATTATGTCACTTTCTGTGCCAAGAACATCAACACTGTTTATTTGACTGGGCTGCCCTGAGGAGGTGTGCTGTACAGTAACAACATTTATCATTCCAAAGACTATTAGCATGGCAAGGCAGTGTCCACCTGAGTGCTACTGTGACTTAAACCAAAAAAAAAAAGGAGCTCTGGTGGCATAGTGCCTAAGGCTTTTGACTGCTAACCAGAAGACTGCTGGTTGACTTAGGAGAAAGAATAAATGACATTCTTTGCTAATGTTAAGATTCTCTGTTATTATCAACCCCCTTCCACCTCCCTACCCCATACACACCCACAAACAACACACATTCACACACACCATCTGCCTTTATTTTCAGGCCTTTGTTGCTTTTAAACCATTTCTTTGATGTCTGCTTCTTTAACCAGCTGGCTTGATTTGCATGAAGTACGTGTTTAGATTGAGAGAGAGAAGGTTTCTGAACCCCATGCTTTAATGTTGCATGGCTTCCAGTTGATTCTGACCAACTGCCACCCTGTAGGACAGCTCTTGTGACATACAGCATAAGTAAGGCATTTGACTGCTAACCAGAAGGCTGGAGGTTCAAACCCACCAGGCACTCCTTGGAAGGAAGATTAGGAAATCTACCTCCGTAGTGATACCGCCTGACTGAACAGCAGTGAGTTTGGTTTGGTTTTTGGAGGACAGACTAGAACTGCCCAGATAGGGTTTCTTTTCTGTAATCTTTATGGAAGCAGACTGTCACATCTTTCTCCTGTGGAGAAGCTGGTGGGTTTGAACTGCTGATCTTTTAGTTAGCAGGTGAGCACTTAGCCACTGTGCCACCAGGGCTCCTTAACCAACCAGAAAAAAATAATTTTGGGAGCCAACTATTTCTTATATCCTCTAAAATGAAAATAAAACACAGCAAACTTTTCAATACTTTTCATAATCTTACCTTTCTACTTTTTCAACATTTGCTTTTAAGCAGGGATCTTTTTGATGCTCTATACAATCTATCATTTGAAGCTATGCCCATGAGTTAGATCTTGCTAACCCCTTATTATTAGGAAATACAGAACACAGAATGTTGGCTGCTTTGTCTTAGGATGTCACAAAATAAAAGAAAAGGCAGACTCAGAATGGGATTTCAGGGTTTAGATTCTCCTGCCTGATTTCATTATTTTGAGACATTTATGTCATCCTGTTTATAGGAGCTCTGGTGGCATGGAGAAATAGAAAAGTAAACAGGTTTAGGGTCTGATTGCTGGTGTAAATTGTTTTAGACTGTAGGGGAGGCAAGCTTCCAGTTTTTGTTATTATTTTTGTTTAATAGTTGTGTCTAAACCAGCAAGGCCTGTTTTATCTAGTCTCACCCAAATCAAATGTGATCTCTGTACTTTTCCATTTCTGCTTGAAGATAATACAGTCACTCATCATTACAGTGCTTATTGAAGGGAAAACTTGTATGTGATTGCATGAAAGCCTCATAGACTTGAAGTAAAGGCTGTCAAGTTGAAGAATAGTTAGAGTGCATATGTTCTGCCTTACCATATATTTGTGGTATTTATTTGGGAGGCTAGAAATTTTCATTTCCTTCCCTAGTAAAATAATTTATTAGAAATTTTAAGATTTCTCAGTTTCTCCTAAATAACATATATAAGGAATATTTTTCAGAAAAAAATAGTATATAAAGTTACCAAGAAAAAGGTTATTTTCTTTTACTGTGTACCCTTATTGTAACCTTTTTTTTCAATCCTCTCCCCCCCCCCTTTTTTTTTTTAATTTTAGAGGGCTGCTGAAGTATCAAACTAATTTAGATACCCACCCTCCTGGCTGTATCAATCTTAACCAGACCCGCTACCAGAATATTCCCTTACCAGAGTATCTCGCAGAGGACTTGGACTTCCATGAACTTTTCCCTGGAGAATTTTCAAAACCAGATGAGCTCACCAAGAATACATTTGTGAAGATTTGTGTGGAAGAGCCCAGATTCCAAGCTAATTTTCCACAGGTTAATTAATTCTATGTTTTTATGGTCTCTGCAAAGTCCACATTCCTATAATGGTTGATCAGAATTGCATTTAAATAAGTTTTTGAAGCTATGTTGTTGTTGTTGTTGTTATGTTTTGGCATCGAGTCAGATCTCACTTACAGCGACCCCTCCTTGGGTTTCTGGGGTGATATCACTACGGAAGTAGATTGCCCAACCTTCTTTCCGAGGAGTGGCTGGTATGTTTGAACCGCCAGCTTTCTGCTTAGCAGTCAAGTGCCTTAGGACTACAAAGCAATTATTCTTACTGAACGATGAGAGTGCCTTTTGAATATTTGTATTATATACACTGATGTTGAGTCTATTTCAACTCGTAGTGACTCTGTGACAGAGTAGAACTGCCCTGTAGGATTTGTTGTTGTTGTTGTTATTGTTGTTATGTGCCATCAAGTCGGACCCGACTCATAGCAACCCCTTTTTGCGTTTCCAAGGCAGTATCACTATGGAAGTAGATTGCCCGATCTTCCTTCTGAGGAGTGGCTGGTGGGTTTGAACCGCCAGCCTTCTAGTTTACAAGGCTGAAATCTTTACTGAAGCAGACTGCCACATCTTCCTTCCTTGAAGAGACTGGTGGGTTCAAACTGCTTACCTTTTGGTTGGCAGCCAAGCACTTAACCATTGAACCACCAAAGCTCCTTGTTTGTGTTATACTTACACTACAACTGGGTAGAAAAGAAAAGAACTGTTGACGTCATAGCAGTCATTCTTCATATCAGGAAAGGAAGTAATTGGCTGTATTGTGATAGCTCCACTGGGTCACAAGTGTAGCCTTTAGACGCTATCTTTCCTCACATTCTCTTTCCTATTATTTCTTCCCTAAATACACTGCCATCAAGCTGATTCCAACTCATAGTGCCCCCTATTTGGTTTCTGAGGCAGTAAATCTTTACGGAAGTAGATTGCCCTGTCTCCCTTCTGCAGAGTGAGCTGGTGGGTTTGAACTGCCAGCCTTCTGGTTAGCAGTCAAATGCCTTAGGCATTGCATCACTGGAGCTCCTTTGTTGTTGTTCTTATGTGCCATCGAGTTGACCCTGACTCATAGCGACCCCTCCTTGGGTTTCTGAGGCAGTGTCACTATGGAAGTAGATTGCCCCATCTTCCTTCCGTAGAGTGGCTGGTGGGTTTGAACCATCAGCCTTCTGGTTAGCAGTCAAGTGCCTTAGGCACTATGCTACCAGAGCTCCTTTGTTGTTGTTATTTGCCATCGAGTCAGCCCTGACTCCTAGCGACCCCTCCTTGGGTTTCTGAGGCAGTTATCACTATGGAAGTAGGATTGCCCAACCTTCCTTTAGTTCCCTTTAAATCCTCAAGTCCTTGCACTTTTCTTAAATTTTCACGAACAGCTAAGCAAACAAACAGGGAAATGTGCTCCCTGAAAAGGAATGTTTTATTACCTGGATTAGCAGCACATTCTTTATGCTTTCTCTCCCCATCTTTTCTTCACTACTTTTGAAATTGCACTCATACCTTGCATTCAAAGTACTTATTAAAAGCAAAGACCTTTCTTCCTAGTTTATTTAGGAAATATGCATTACATGGTTATCAAAGGTTATTTTAAATCTTAAACATTTTTTCCCATGGAAACGGGCTTAATGCTGCCCTTTGTTCTTATGGTTTAAAAATTCTATTTCAAATACTTGTGTATTCTTTAGCAACAATTTAGGACAGTAAGGCCCTGTCTCAAAATGATGTAAAAATAAATAAACCAACTGTGAATTGAAGTTATCCCTAGTAACGTAAAGTCCCTGAGGCTTTTATGTAGTGACCCTAAGAGAGATTTTCTTCCCCTGACTTTCTGTGTGTGTATCCATAAACTCATGCTGTCAAGTCGGATCTGACTCATAGCGACCCCTCCTTGGGTTTCCAAGGCCATATCTCTACAGAAGTAGATTGTCCAACCTTCCTTCTGAGGAGTGGCTGGTGGGTTTGAACCTCCAGCCTTCTGGTTAACAGTCAAATGCCTTAGGCACTATGCCATCAGAGCTCCCATGTGCATCCATAGTACTTGTGAACAGACACTCCCTTGGAGGTCATTGAAGCACTATGGGAGAAAAAGCCTGGATTAGGAGTTGGAAAACCTAAGTTTACTTACTGATTCTACCCCGAGCTCACCTAATTTTTTTTGGTCAGAATTTCAACTCCTCTTACTTCTAAGAAGAATATAATGGTAAAATCTCAAAGGTTTGTGGTATAGCTATTAGATCAATGCATATGAATTTACTTTATAAATGGTAAAGCATCATATGAATGCAAGTTATGCTATCTTTTTCAAATTACTGCATGAAAGTAATTGCCTGAGTAGTGAAATAAGGGACCTAATCTTCCCTTGCTACTGCTCACACAGAAAATTACACCCTGTACTTTTTTCCTGTACAAAGTGGAAGTCTGAAATAGTAATGCTGAATGTCTGTCTTCAGAGAAGAGAAAAGGAGCCAAGATCTAGAGTCAATCTAAGGATGATTTTGGAATAACTGTGCTAGTCTTGTGTTTATTATTAATAATTATCCTTAAATTTCTGTTACAATTAATAATTTTCAGAATGCTAGACAGAGCAGGTATGTTGTTGTTGTTGTTGTTATGTGCCGTCGAGTCAGCCCTGACTCATAGCGACCCCTCCTTGGGTTTCCAAGGCAGTATCACTACGGAAGTAGGATTGCCCAACCTTCCTTCCGAGGAGTGGCTGGTGGGTTTGAACCTCCAGCCTTCTGGTTAGCAGTCAAGTGCCTTAGCCACTATGCTACCAGAGCTCCCAGAGCAGGTATAGGGACTCCTATTTTATTCATGTTGGACCTAATGTTCAAAGGGTAAATGTTTGTCCCAAAGTTACAAAGTTGCTACCTTGCAGAGGTTGTCCTGGGATGCCCACTTTTCACACAGTGTTGGATTAAATGCCATTATATGAGGAAGAGACTTGATCTGTCTGCATGGCAAGTGGGTAGGTCTAGGGCAACTATATAAATAAGGTTTTAAAATGCAACCATTAAAATGATGAGTTTTGAGTGAAGCCTTCTAAATGACGGAGGAGATGCAAAGTGCAGTTGTAGGAGAAATGTTGGCCACACAAGTCTCTGCATTTCCCAAAGCACTCAGTTATCCAGGTATCAGAACTGTCCATCCTGCGCATATTCAAAATTATCATAATTTTCAAATTCTTAATATTATCTCTGTTAATATGACATTGAATAAAGTAACTTGAAAAATTATGTCTAGCTTATCCCATTTTTAAAAATATATGTCTATTACAAGTTACAAAGTATCTAAAGTTTTCTTGTTTTAAATAAACATCGGAAATTTTTTTTTAAATTATGCTCAGATTTACCTGAGCTTTCACATGGCTTCTTTTTAAAGAATGATATTTTATATACAAATTATATATTTGCTGTATGCACAGAAGAATGTACACCTATCTGTAGTGGTAGTTATGCATAGGACATGGGTTCAATAGTGGTGTCTTGGCATGACTTTGTTATTTTTATTTTTATTTCTGTCTTGTTTGAATGAGTTGCAGTGAGCAGTTTTTTTTTTTATTGACTTTACATGTTATTTAAAATATAGATTAAAATGTTATTACTGAAATGTGTTAGATAAGCAAATATGCAGCATATAAAGATTCTCAAAATTAAAATATTTCTTAAGGTGTATTTTCAAAAATTCTCCCTTAGACTTGGCTTTGGATTTCTGGACCTTTGTGCCTGTACTGTGCTGAAAGGCTTTACAGATGTATCCGAAGCAATAAGCCCGTCACCATCATCTCAGTTATAAATCATCCCTCAGATGTTATGGAAATTCGAATGGTCAAAGAAAATTTTAAAGCAAGACCTGGCCAGGTGAGTCAGTGGTCAGCAACTGTTAAAATCCCAGCTGTTCTGTGGGAGGAAGATGAGGTAATCTACTTCTGAAAAGGTTTATAGCCTTGGAAACCCAATGGGGGTCGTTATGAGTTGAAATAGACTCGATGGCAATGGGTTTGTTTTTTTTTAAATATTTATTTAGGAGCTCTGGTGATACAGTGGTTAAAACGTTTGGCTGCTAACCATAGGATCGGTGGTTTGAACCCATCAGCTGCTGCATGGGAGAATGATGAGTCAGTCTGCTTCCATAAAGATTTATAGCTTTGGAAACCCTATGGGGCAGTTCTACTTTGTCCTATAGGGTCACTTGAGTCAGAATCATCTTGATGTCAGTGGATTCAGTTTCTGGTTTTAGTTTTTGATAAATAATAGGCATGGCATTATTGTAATATTTGAACTTCTTGATCATTTAAAAGTTATCTGTTTGTTTCTTTTTAGTATATTATCCTACATTGTCCTAGTGTGTCTGCATTAGAAAATCATCCATTTACCCTCACAATGGTAAGAAGTTTGGTTTTTGATTTAAAAAAAAAATTTGAAGTGAAATGTACATTTTTCATTCTTTGTGTACTCTACCTCATTGTAAAAATTATTCAAAGCTGCTACAATATCCTTAATGTTTAAGGAAGCCACCTTTTCATAAAGAAATGTGGTTATCTTCTCAGAAACTTTGTATTTATATATATATATTTTTTTTTTACTTTACAATTCAGGAAGTGATATATTTAGGATTTATTTAAGCATGTTGATTCAAAATGCAGAAAATTCCCTGAATATCTGCACTTTTCCTTTTATAAAGTACATCACGTTCTCATATGTGTACAATTCTGTATGTGCATGATTCTTACATGTACAGAAAATCTCATATGGGCATAGTTTTTTTTTTTTTTTTTTTTTTTTTTTTAGAAATTAAATTGAAGAAAAAAGGGCTACTTTGAGTTGAGGTGGAAGCACTAGAAAATCCAGGCAGTGTTTAGAGAAAGTAAAGTCCAATGTTACCTGGGCTATGTATAAGGGAGGCAGTGGACTGCAAACTTGGAAAAATAAAATAGTGTAAATAATGGAAGTTCCAGACAACTATTTGGTGCCATTAAATATGTTTGACTAATTATTATATTCCTAAAAATTATTACTCATTCATCTTTAAAAAGAAAAAAACACACACACATACTCACTGTCAGGGAGCCTATTCTGACTCATAGATTCTGACCCATAGTGACCTCTCCTTGGGTTTTGGAAGTGGTCTGTCTTTGGAAGTAGATTGCCCAGTCTTCCTTCTGAGGAGTGGCTGGTGGGTTTGAACCGCCATCCTTCTGGTTAGCAGTCAAATGCCTTAGGCACTACACCACCAGAGCTCCTTATCTACTATCTCTTTATCCAACATTTTGCATTCATGACAATAGTAAAAAATCTACCTAAATCACCTTACAGCTACATAAGGACTCATGAGTTTTGAGGGAGAGAGTGCCTTGCTCTTGAGCCCCAAGCTCATAATCCTTCCCATCCTATTTTTCCCCGTAGTCTTGGAGGGGAGCAAAGTTAAAAGAGAAAAAGAAAAAATAAATAAAATAAAGATAAATGCCCAGATCTCATGCTCTTAACCTGCACATGTGCTCTGTGGTGAATCTAGGCCTGCCCACAGAGTGCTGACTGCTCCCTTCCCCACCACTGTCCTAGCAGAGCTGTGGCTTTGGTTTTTAAGTCTGCTAGAAGTGGGCAGAGGAGCACACACAGGAAGTGCAGTGGTCACTTTGTCACACACCACGAGATTGGCCATTTTCATGCTCAGGGGCACTGGGGTTAGCAGGCAGAGATTTGAATGGGTGATGTTTCCGTGGAGTGCGAGAACTCGGCATGGACAGAGGTAGGTAGGGTCTCTTCCAGGCTGCAAATCCTGACCCAATCAGCTCTGCCTCTGGTTTGAAATTGCATAAGCCAACCCACCCACCCAAAGTAAGGAAGTCACAGTGCAGAGACAAGGGAGTTGTAGATAATGGCTGCTTTAGGGGAGGGAGCAGCCCTACAGAAAGAACCTCCTTGGAAATGATTCCTGGGGTCTGAGGAGCATTTGGTTGCTAAAGTTTTGCATAACATTAATTTTTGCATAAAAATGTGATCTTTGGAAGCTAACCATTGTCTAAAATGAGAATGGGTTATTATTTTTAATATTACATTTTATAGTAGTTTCAGGTTACAGAAAAATTATGCAGGAAGTACAGAGTTCACATGTACCCACCTGCTGCTCCCCCTATTATTATCTTGTATTAATGTGCTACCTTTGTTATCCATTATAAGAAAAAATATTGATACATTATTATTAACTAAAGCCTATAGTTTACATTGGTGTTCACTCTTTGTATGGGTATTACTGAATGCTTAAGGTAATGTATTCACCATTACACTATCACAGAGAATAATTTCACTGACATCACCTATACTCTACCTATTCATCTTCTTCCCATCCCTTGAACCCCTGGGAACCACTGATCTCTTTAGTGTTTTACTATAGTTTTATATTTTCTAGAGTCTTACACAGTTGGAATCACATAGCATGTAGCCTTTTCAGAATGGCTTCTTTCACTTAGCAATATACATTTAAGGTTCCTCCATGTCTTTTTGTGCCCTGATAGCTCATTTATTTTTCATTATGAATAATATTGTATGGATGTACCATAGTTTGCGTTTCCTTTCACCTATGAAGTATATTTCGGTTGTTTCTGATTTTTAGAAATTATAGAGTTGCTGTAAACATTTGTGTGCAGGTGTTTGTGTGTCCATAGGTTTTAAACATGTTTTGGTAAATACCTAGGAGTGCATTTGCTGGATTGTATGGTGGTGAGATTATGATTAGCTTTGTAATCAGCTGCCAGATTGTCTTCCAAAGAGACTACACTCTTTAACATTGCTACTAGTAGTGAGTGAGAGATCCCATTGCACCATTTACTCTCCAGCCTTTGGAGTTGTTATTGTTTTAGATTTTAATCAGTGTCATAGGTGTCTGCCACTGCCACTGCCATCAAGTTAATTCTGACTCATAGTGTCCCTGTAGGACAGAGTAGAACTGCGCCATAGGGTTTCCAAAACTATAAATCTTATGGAAGTAGACTGCTTCATATTTCTCCCACGGAGTGCCTGGTGTGTTCGAACCACTGACTTTTGGTTAGCACTTGAGTACATTAACCACAGCACCACCAGAGCTCATCACAGGTGTCTAGTGATATCTTATTGTTGCTTTAATTTGCAATTGCCTAATGACATATGTTGTTGAGCACCTTTTCTTATGATTATTTGCTGCCTGTATATCTTCTTTACAGACAGCAAATAATCATAAGAAAAGGTGCTGTCTGTATATCTTCTTTAGGAGCTCTGGTAGCGTAGTGCCTAAGGCACTTAACTGCTAACCAGAAGGCTGACAGTTCAAACCCACCAGCCACTCCTCAGAAGGAAGGTTGGACTACTTCCCTAGTGATATTGCCTCCGAAGGGAGCTCTGGTAGCATAGTGGCTGAGATACATGACTGCTAACCAGAAAGCTGGCGGTTCAAACCCACCAGCCACTCCTTGGAAGGAAGATGGGGCAATCTACTTCCATAGTGATACTGCCTTGGAAACCCAAAGAGGGGTCACTATGAGTCGGGTCTGACTCGACGGCACATAACAACATAGAAAATTATCGATAGAGTTCTTCTTTGGTGAAATATCTGGTCAAATCTTTTGTCTATTTTGAAATTGGGTTTTTTGCTTTCCAGTTGTTGAGTTTTAGGAATTCTTGTTATATTTTGCACATAAGTTCTCTATCAGATATATACTTTGCAAATAGTTTCTTCTAGTGTAAACCTTCACTTTTCATTCTCTTAATAGTGCCTTTCGTGAAGCAGAAGTTAATAATTTTGATATAATACAACTTATCAATTTTTTCCTTCATGGATTGTGCTTGTGGTATTATTTAAAAATTCATGGCCAAATCTTAGATTTCCTTGATTTTCTCCTGTGCTGTCTTCTAGAAATTTTATAGTTTTGCATTTCACATTTAGATCTATGATTCATTTTGAGCTAATTTTTGTGAAAGATAAGGTCTGTGTCTAGATTCACTTTTTTTCCCCATAGTGTGGATGTCCAGTTGGTGCAGCTCCATTCATTGAAAAAACAAAACAAAACAACTCCCTTTCTTCATTGAATTGCCTTTGACCTTTTGTCAAAGATCAGCTGACTGTGTTGGTTTAGGTCTATTTCTGGGCTTTCTATCCTGTTCTGTAGATCTGTTTGTTTATTCTTTGCCAATATCACACTATCTTAATTACTATAGCTTTATAGTAATTCTTGAAGTTGGGTCGTGTCCAAGTTTGGTTCTCTTTTTCAATGCTGTGCTGGCTATTCTAGGTCTTTTGCCCTCCCATATAAACTTTAAGATCAATTTGAAGATATCTACATAATAACTTTCTGGGATTTTGATTGGGATTATATTAAATATAAAGGTCAAGTTGAGAAGAACTGCTGTCCTAACAATATTGAGTCTTCTTATCTAAGTATATGACATATCTGTCCATTTATTTAAATCTTCTTTGATTTTTTCATTAAAATTATTTTTTACATTATAAAAATAACATGAAGTCATTATGAAAATACAAACAATTCACAAGGATATAAAATAAAATAGGAAAGTCTACTCACTTCTCCATTTTCCCAATTCTGCTATTCCAAATTTGACATGTAGCCTTCCAGAAGTTTCCCTATATTCTTTGGCATATGTAAGTGCCTGGCATTTGTTTGCTGGATTGTATTCTCTAACTTACTATTTTCACTCAACAATATACCAGTAACAACTTTCCATGTTATTGTATGTTTATGTCACTCATTATTTTTAATGTGTGCATGATATTCCATAATAGGAAAATACTCTTATTTAATATTCCTTATTGATAATGGAGTTTTATAAGGAGCTCTGGTGGCACAGCACCTAAGGCATTTTACTGCTAATGAGAAGATTGGTGGTTCAAACCAGCTGCTCTGTGGAAGGAAGATGGGGCCATCTACTTCTGTAATGATTTACCACCTCAGAAACCTATTGGGGTTCAATATGAGTTGGAATTGATTAAATGGCAGTGAGTTTGGTTTTGGTTTCAATGGAATTTTAGATTTAAAAAAATTTTTTTTAAATAATTGAATATAGGAACCATATGCTTAAATATATGCTTAACAAAAATAAAATTGAACAAATTTTGGAGGAGGAAATAGAAAATTAACTGGTGTTAAAGTGCTGAGATTGGAGAGTAGGATTGTATTAGAAATGGGAGCTAGTTTCAACTTGGATGAATTAGTCAAGTTGAAAACTCTGAAACCATGGGTAAGTTATTTAAACTGCTTGTGCATTCAATTCCCCACTGTCATATTGGGATGAAAACAGAACCTATGCATAGACATGTTATGAATTTAAATGAACTACTATAAGGGGAGCTCTGGTAGTGTAGTGCCTAAGGCACTTGACTGCTAACCAGAGGGCTG